CTTCCCCCGACTCTCGACCGCCCCTCCCCGCCCCCCAAGGGCCTCAAGCCTCAGCGCTCGTCACGCACCCCGCGGACTCTGTGAGCTTCTGACCGGGTCCCGCACTCTTGAACTTCATGTCGGCTTTGATTTCTTGGAAGAATTTCTTCATGGTGGCGGCGGGCCCGGCCGCGGGGGGCCGCGGGGGGCGGGGGGCGCACGGCCCAGTCGGGGAGGGGCCGTCTGGGGCCAACAACCGGAAAAAAAATACCCGGCCGCCGGAAGTCCCGCCTTCACACGGACGCCCACGTGACAATCGGCCCGGCACGCCTCTCTAGCACTCCGCGCCTCGCTGGCGTGGGGCGGCCGCTCTGCTCTCCGGGGCCTCGTCTCCGTGGTTCTTCCGGACTTCGTTGCCAGGGCCACGAGCGCGCTTCTGGCTGGAGGCTGTGCCTGGCGCCCTCCGCCGCGTTTCCCGAGGGGCGATCGGAGAGGAAGGGACAGGCCGACCGACCCTCGTGGAGAAAGCGCTGGTTCTGTCGCTTCCCCTGCTCTAGAACCTTCCGGGGCTCCCCAGCGCTTACGTAATAAAGTCTCCAAGTCAACGTGGCGTCATTCAAGGCCCCCTAGGACCCAGTCCTTTTGGGTCCCTGTCACCCCCCACAAGACACCCTGTGTAGGAGACACTGAAGAGTATGCACCGAGCTGGGGACCCACTTTGGCGAACAGGACAGAGAGAAACCAGTTAATGATGACCTACATTGGGCCGTCCAGGCGGCAAAGGAGACACCCAAAGTGACAACTAAAACAAACTCAAAAAACGAGCTGGAAAGTGAACTATCATGGGCTTTGTCTAGGAAATGAAAGAGTCCCAGGGTGGCTGGGTTAAGGGGAAGAGAGGAAGGCTGGTGATGAGAAAGAATTGAGGAGGGCCCCATCCCCTAGGGGTTGCAATTAAGAAGACTGGAGATTATCCTGGGAGCGTTGAAGAGATAGAAGGAAGAACACGGTGCACCCCAGGGAGACCCCATCTCAAAAAAAAAAAAATCCACAAATTCTTTGGCACTTCTCTCTTAGCACTTCTCTCTTCGAAGAGCAGGGCCTATTTCCTCTTTACCTGAGTGTGGGCTAGACACTTAGTGACTCACTTTTAACAATTAGAATAACGGAGAAGCAACAATGTGTTACTTCTGAGACTAGGTCTCTCTGTATCCCAGCCTAGCCCAGGCCCCAGTGACCATCTTCCTCATTGATCCTGAGGCTTCCATGCTTGCCCCGCACTCGAGGGTGGACAGGATTAGCAAAGAAAGACAGGAAGCCCAGTTAGATCTGAATTTCAAATCCACAACACTTTTTTTTTATTGTGATAAAATATATGTAACATTACATTTACATTGCTTCACTTGATTAACCTTTAAAACAAATAAAACAAAATAAATTTACATTGTAACCATTTTTTAGAACTATATGTCAGAAATTTTTATTTGATATATACAGTATCACTCTTTTATTGTTAAATGGACAATATACAATTTACCATTTTAACTTTCTTTCTTTTCTTTCTCTTTCCCTTCCTTCCTCCTTCCCTCCCTTCCTTCCCTTTCTTTGCTATGACAGCAGCCTTGAACTCCTGGGCTCAAGCGATCCTCCTACCTTAGCCTCCCAAGTAGCTGGGACTACAGGTGCGAGCCACTGCGTCCAGATCAACCTTTTTTTTTTTTTTTGAGACAGAGTCCCGCTTTT